AGAGAGAGAGAGAGAGAGAGAGAGAGAGAGAGAGAGAGAGAGAGAGAGAGAGAGAGAGACCTCCTTTGCCTAATCAAAGCTTAACTTCGACTTGTCCTACCATCCCACCTAAGAGCCTCCTCTATGTTTTGCAGTCCCATATTTCTTCAAACATGGCGATGGTCGGAAGGAGATGGAGGAAGAAGAAGATGTGAGGTGGTTGGTTATGGTGGACGAGTGATGGAGGTGGAGGAAGGAGAAGGTATGAGGTGGATGGGTGATGGAGGTGGTGGAAGAAGAAGGTGTGAGGTGGTTGGCTATGGTGGATGAGTGATGGAGGTGGATGGAGAAGAAGGTGTGAGGTGGTTGACTATGGAAGATGGGTGATGGAGGTGGAGGAAGAAGAACGTGTGAGGTGATTGGTTGGCTATGGTGGATGGGTGATGGAGGTGGAGGAAGGAAAAGGTGTGAGGTGGTTGGTTATGGGGCGTGAGTGATGGAGGTGAGGAAGAAGAAGAGGTGAGGTGGTTGGGGGATGAGTGATGGAGGTGGAGGAAGAAGAAGAAGAGGTGAGATGGTTGGCTATGGTGGATGAGTGATGGAGCTGGAGGAAGACGGTGTGGGGTGGTTGGCTATGGTGGATAAGTGATGGATGTGGAGGAAGAAGAAGGTGTGAGGTGGTTGGCTATGGTGGATGGGTGATGGAGGTGGAGGAGAAGGTGTGAGGTGGTTGGGTATGGTGGATGGGTGATGGAGGTGGAGGAAGAAGGTGTGAGGTGGTTGGGTATGGTGGATGGGTGATGGAGGTGGAGGAAGAAGAAGGTGTGAGGTGGTTGGCTATGGTGGATGGGTGATGGAGGTGGAGGAAGAAGTTGTGAGGTGGTTGGCTATGGTGGATGAGTCATGGAGGTGGAGGAAGGTGTGAGGTGGTTGGCTATGGTAAATGGGCGATGGAGGTGGAGGGAGAAGGTGCAAGGTGGTTGGCTATAGTGGTCGGGTGATGGAGGTGGAGGAAGAAGGTGTGAGGTGGTTAGCTATGGCGGATGGGTAATGGAAGTGGAGGAAGAGGAAGGTGTGAGGTGGTTGCTATGGTGGATGTGTGGTGGGGGTGGAGGAAGAAGAAGATGTGAGGTGGTTGGCTATGGTGGACGAGTGATGGGGGTGGAGGAAGAGGAAGGTGCGAGGTGGTTGGCTATGGTGGATGAGCGAAGGAGGTGGAGGAAGAGGAAGGTGTGAGGTGGTTGGCTACGGTGGAAGGGCGTTGGAGGTGGTTGGCTACGGTGGAAGGGCGATGGAGGTGGTTGGCTACGGTGGAAGGGCGATGGAGGTGGAGGAAGAAGAAGGTGTGAGGTGGTTGGTTATGATGCCTCCCTACGTCTAAGTACCGGTCTCGTCCTTCTTGTGTCGTTCCAAGGTCCGAATTCTCAGAAAACTCAGATTTGCGAAAACTCAAACTTCAAAAAATACTTGGAGATGCAAAACTCAGATTTGCAAAAAACTCAGACTTGTGAAAAACTCGGATTTTGCAGATTTGCAGATTTTTCGATCATTGGAGGGGCAAAAAAACTCAGATTTTCGTTTGTTGCCCTTAATGACGTCAACCGGGTTTGTAACTTTGCAGACCATTTGTACCTACCCCATAGACGACGCTCCTAAGTTTGGGTCCTATTCTGTCGTTGTTTGGCCCTACTTGCCCGTTTTGGGCTTCCCCCGTATCTCTAAGCGAACAGTTGGAGGAAATTCATTTTTCGTTTTTGTCGGAAAATAGATTCAAGTGGACCTGGGATTTTGCAGACCATCTATCTATGCCTAGGACATGGGGCCTGCCAAGTTCCAACCCCCATCTCCTTTGTTTGGCGGGGTTGAATTTTACCCCCCTCTTGGAGTCGTGTCGAATGGTTGATAATTTCGGACCGGCTTTTGGCCGAGGCGGGATAGTGGTTTCAGCAGCAGCAGCAGTCAAGTACCCAGTCCACTAATAGCATCATCATCATCATCATCATCATCACCATCATCAATAGCAGCAGCAGCCCCCCTTCCTACTCTTTCTTCCGGTGGCTCCGTCGACACTTGGCTAGGATTATGCAAGATGGCGAAGATAATGTGGTATATTCGGATGGCACGAGCATATCCGATTTTAGGGGAGCACACTTTGAGCCTGTCAAGATAAATAGTATAGTTAGTTGAGTTCTGAATAGAACACGGCGGGGTAGGAAGAACCTAAACCCGCAGGAGGCATTGGTTCTGACACCCTATACTAGAGAAGGACTAGTGGTTTTTGAATAGAGCACATGGGGGAAGGATTCGTCATAACGACGGGAATACACAACCCTATCCCATGCTCGGGACTAGCAGAAGCACCCAAGAGTGAAACGAAACACTACCAAGTGGAAGACTGACGAAAAGCATGAGAAAATTTTTGATAAGGCACATGCACATGAATAGTGGAAGCACCCAAGAGTGAAACGATACACTACCAAGTGGAAGATTGACGAAAAGCATGAGAGAACTGTGACAAGGCACATGCACATGATTAGAGAAAGCACCCAAGGCTAAATTGGAACATCACCAAGTGGACGACTGACGAAAAGAATGAGAGAAACTTTACAAGGTAGATGCACATCACTAGTGGAAGCACCCAAGAGGGAAGCGGAACATTACCAAATGAAGATTGAACAATTGAACGAAAATATGAAAGAAACTTGACAAGGCACATGCACATGACTTGTGAAAGCACCCAAGAGTGAAGCGGAAATACCGAGTGAAAAGCATGAGAGAAACATGACAAGGCATATGCACATGACTAGTGGAAGCACCCAAGAGTAAAGCGGAACACTACCTAGTGGAAAACTAATGAAAACATGAGAGAAAACTTGAGAAGGTACATGC